CACCACACCCAGCTTCATTTCCTGTTTAATTCACCAGGTTTTATCTGAGCCTTGGCGATTGTCTACAAGCCAGACCCCGCAGCAGCAGGTGGAGCTCTTTGACTTCGTGAAGTACCCAAACTACGTGTCCGGCGGAGGGGGCTTCGGGCCGGTAAATGCAGCCCTGGGCTGTTGTGCATGTTCACAGGGGGACCTGCTGGGCTTACCCTCTGATGATCCCCGTAAACTTCCTGCTTCCGCAGGTTGCTGACGATGGCTATGGTGTGTCGTACATCATTGTGGGAGACCACTTCATCCACTTCCATATTTCTTCCAAATTCTCCAGCCCAGAGACGGTACGTATGAAAAGAAGTTTCTTTTTTCTAAAGATGGAGTTTTTTTACTTTTGGAGGAAGCACATAGTTATTTTCTCAGAAACTTTCAATTCAGTTATCTACCTGGTTTGGACTGAAATTCTCTTAACCTCAATTTTTTTTTTTTTTTTTTGTACCAGGGATCGAACTCGGGTCCTTGCATTTGTGAGGCAGGTGGCGGAACCACTGAGCTAAATCCCCAGCCCCCTCTTAACCTCATTTTTAAAAGAAATATATTTCATTTGGCTTAACCTGCTTGCCTTTGCTAAGTGCAGTGGTGTGAAATCTTAATCTTCACATGCTTCTGTAACTTTCAAACTCTTAACTTTTGGAAGGTGGACAAAGAATAGTGTGCACATGCCAAGAAATACACTGTCATGATAGAGTAGGGATCCATGGTGGGACAAGTGACCTCCTTCTTTGTACGGTAATTTATCAAGCAGCACATAGGTAATGGGGTGCAGGGAAAAGGTCACCACAAAATCTGGCAATAATGTCTTGGCACAACCCATACTGTAGCATCCCTAAAGTGATGTTCGCTTCTGGAACAGAAAACTGATTTTTTTTTTGGAGACAGGGTCTCACTATGTAGTTCAACTGGCATTGAACTCACTATGTAGCCCAGGCTGGCCTCGAACTTGTGGCAATCCTCCTGCCTCAGCCTCCTGAGTGCTGAGATCACAGGCATGTACCACCATGCCTGGCTATGGAACTGTGTTTCTTAATCCTTCAGCCACAGTTTAGAGAATTGGCAGAAAGGCATTTGTATTAAACCCCAGGTCAGATTAGAAATGTAAAGGCTTGAAACACAGCAGTTTTTACGTGTTAATGTGCTTTGCTTTTTGTTTTTGAATTGAAGGATTCTCATCGCTTCGGGATGCACCTGAGACAAGCTATGACAGACATCATTGCCTTGTTTGGGCTCTCGCTGAATTCCAAAAAGTAATTCCCTGGGCGCCACTGTGAAGGGAAACAGACTCTTATGAAACAAACCAAATGAAGAATAGGTATTAATCCTGGGTATAGCTCCGGATGAAAGTTGCTCTTAGAAAAGTCAGAAGTTTTCCTTCCAGAACGGGCTTGTTACTGTTTCTGTCTCCCTGGAGCGATAGGCACACTGTGTGAAGCGTAACCCTACTACTTCCAGGTTGGCCCTGGACATACCCTCCCCCCAGGCTTTGCACCTGCTTGTACTTATTAAGGGATTAGAATGTTATTGAGTTCATGAAGGAATTAGTGGGGTTGTGGCTTCACATGCATTGCAAGTGCAAATGACACTGCCAGGGAGGTGACCAAGTATCTGGTACTTGGTACTTACTTGACACAGTGGTGTAAACATCTGTCTCATGAAAAAGAAACGTTACTGTTGGCGATGGTAAACAGTTAAAGCTAACACACAATGCACTAACTGAAAATGCCATGCTTGGGGTTTGTCTCTGGAGGTGCCAGTCCTTGGTTGGTAGCCTGTGACTGCATCACCTCAGCCTTAGAGTTCCTGAGCCTGCATGTCTTCAAACCCAGTGCCTTAAAGACCAAGCCCCTCAGGGTGGGGCTGGGGGAGAGGCATAGGAAATGTTAATTTTGTGTCATCTTTAGGTGAAATTGAGGGTGGGGTTGTTGCTCTCTTCTCAGTTTAATGAATGTGGGGTAACCCTAAATAAATGTTTACTATGGTTCCCCTCCCCTAGAATACCAGGGTCCTCCACCAGGGCCAGTGATGCTGGGTTCCCCTCGTTGGCCACCTTTCTGTCATTGTTAGACAACAAAAGAGATCAGGTGTTGTCAGAAAGGGGAGCAAAGGACTTGATGGCCAGATATTCCATACCTGGAGACATGGCTGAAGAATAAAATACCATGTGTGCCTCAAGATGAACATGGGACCTGCTGACAATGAGGAGACCGAGATCCTGGCCACAGGGACAGCTGCGGAGCTTGGGGGAGGGCAAGGCAGACCTGAAGACGCAGGTCCTGGACACCAGTGGGGTTTTCTTCCGCCCCCACCTGGTCAGAGAGAAGACCTGCTCCTGTTTTCAGAGGGGTGGAGGTAGCCGGAAACAGCAGGCTGGGTCCTCTGGGTGACAGACCTAAGTGTCACAGGTGATTGGCGCTAGGTCTACACAGCCTGTCCTTGGATAGGGGTGCCTTTATCGAAAGCGTCTGACTACAAAACAATTATGCACTGATCATGTTCAGTATTTACTGTAGACATAAAGATCATGGAGTGACATTCCCACTGCCTCTGTCTGGCCTGTCGTGACAAGCTTTGCTGTCCGTTTTTTAAACATGTATTTATTTTTCTGACCACTTTGTCTTCGCTGGCTTTGCCCCCCTTCTTCCTTCTATGCTGTGGTGGAACAAAAGTGAGAGTGAACTACAGGAGTAGACACAGGCGGTTGCTAATGAATGATGCATACTTATTTATGTATATTTTGCAATGTAAAAACCCCACCTAAATGGGCCAAAGATTCTTTCCTCTTAAAAGTAAGAAGGAATGAAAACAAAAGGAAAAAAAACAAACCAAGAAACACCCCCCTCCCCCAAATCTTCTGTGGTGCACAGTCAGGCAGGTTTGGGGAGAAATCACCCCTCTGCTGAGGGCAAGTGTAGCTTCCAGCCACGAGGCAGTAGCTGGCAGTAGTCTCTATCCGAGGCACCTGAAACATGAAGTAGTGACCACTGACCAGTCTGTCACCATGCATTCACACATGAATTCGGGTGTAGACGTGTTAGTGCTCAAGCGTGTTGGAGCTTCTTTCTCAGGTTTTAAATGTTTCAGATGTAATTGTTGCTAATTGGTGCAGTTATCAATGCAATTTTATATTCTTTAAAAGGAAGAAGAGTGGGTTTTTATTGTACATGTCAAAAGGGGGTGGTAAGAGAATTATGTATTTAATTGGGAACAATTGATAGTCTTAACGCAGCCACTATTTGAATTTGTTACCTTAATCTGTCCTTGACATGTAAATACCATATGCTCTTTTTGGATGTAAGTCTTCGAAATGCACGATTTGAATGTAGATTAGCATTAATAAAACATTAATCCCTGTCTACTACAGTATGTGTTTCTGTCTCCTTTGTTATACTAATAAAGAGGATTATACGTCAGATACGAACCCTGAGAGGCAGGGTGGATAGCTCTCTGGGCTCTTGCACTTGACTGGGAGGAAAAGTGTCCAAGTACAGCCTGCTGGTCGGTACTTACAATCACCTATTCCTTTGTCCAGTACCTAGCGTATAGTAAGTGCTCAACAAATACATGTCGAATGATGAATTCAGTCTCTTCAGCAGATTTCTTGAACACCTGTGCAAAGCACTGGGAATCCACTAGCAGCCCTGCAGGGTTCTGGCTGTGGGTTTCAGTTCTGTGGGGAGGAGCTAGAGGACAGAGCCAACCAATGGGAAGGATCTTAAGTACTGCAGGGCAAGCAAGAGCACCCTGGGGTGCGGGTAGAAGGGCAAGGAAGGTGCCTGCCTTAGAGTTGGAGACAAGACAGAGCCATCAGAACATCTAGGGATAGGCACAAGTGTCTGTCCACACCTGGCATGACGCTGTTCAGTCAGTGCCCGGCTGGAGAGTGAATGTCAGCCCTTGGTTGACATTTGCTCAGGGTCCTCACAATGCTTTCCTTGGACTCTTGACAGAGAGCAGTTACCTTTACATCCCTAAGGTTTGGGAAGCCCCCGCTGGCTTTTCAGACTTGCTGCTCAACTCAGCTGGGATGCACATGATATGATTATTGGAGCCATAAAGTGGGAGTATGATCATCTACACACACAGATGTGGGGGAACGAGGGCTCAAAGGCAGTGTAATTAGGGATGGCCGCACTCCAGAGAATGGCAGCGTTATCTGTAATGTTCAAATACTTCAGTAGCAGAGTTAAGTCACATATAACCAAGGGAAAGGCTACCCTGATTTTTATCTGAAGAAGCCACTAGAACTTCCTATGGAATGCTGTCCGACAGATGGAGATGGCACAGGTGCAGAGGAACTTTTACCAAATTCTGCCCCCATTGCAGTGACAAGACCCAGAAGATGGCGCTTCAAGTCCAGTGCATTTGTAATTAGCCAGCTGCCTAAACTGTATTGTAGGTGGTTCACATGGTGGGAACATCTGAACGGTGAGAGCTAACTTTCTTTTCTTTTGTGGTTCCTGGGATTGAACCCAGAACCTTCTCATTAAGCTACATCCCCAGCCTTATTTTTTATTTTGAGACAGTGTCTGGCTAAGTCATGCAGAGTGGCCTCGAACTTGTGAACCTCCTGGTTCAGCCTCCCAGAGTGCTGGGGTTACAAGAGTGCGCCACCACTCCCAAACACCAATGTTGAGTTGCTTTTATTCACCCTCTGGCATCGAGGATTGGAAGAGCATTCGAGGTTGGGAAAGTGTACCAGCAAACCCTTCCCACTGTCCACTCGCCATGCTTTATCTTGAAAGCGTGAAGTGCAGAAAAGATTATCTTAAAGATTGAAGTCAGATGTCAAGATAGGAAGTCCCAGCTAGAGTTGCTTCAGACTTCCTGGGGGCTTCGGTTTCCCAATTTGAGCCGGCAGCGGCTGATCCCGGGATCACTCCTCCAACCTCCTACAGGTCGAAGGGGGCTCCGGGGCCCGCCCCTCCCCACTCCCAGGTCACTCCTACCCACTATTACTTGGCCCCGCCCCGTCCGGATACAGACTCCGCCCCTCTCCGGAGGCCCCGCCTCTTCTCCAACTGCCAACGGCCTCCGCACTTGAGGCTGGCAGTGGGGCGGCTCGGGTCGACCCGGTGCCTCACTGACTCCGGCCTTCGTCAGGTTTCCCCGCTTCTCCTGGGCAGGCCGCGTCCTCGGGGCTTCAGGCGGGGAGGGGGCGACGGGACCCTTGCCTAGCGGGCGCTGAGCGGCGCCCCTCACCCAGACCCTCGTAGCAGGTGCGCTGGGCGATGCCCGGCGCCGCGTCCCTGTGCTCCCATGGAAGAGGCCCCTCTGCTGGGCGCCATGCCCGGCCCGGACGATGAGACTGCTAGCGACCTGTTCGGCCCCGAGGGCGCGTCAGAGGCGGAGGGCCCGGCCCTGAGCCCTGCCACGGCGGTGCAGCTGGAGCAGGACGAGCTGCAGGTGCTCAGGGACGTCTACCTGGGCGGCGCCGCCCCCGGCGAGGAGCCGCCCGCCGCGGAGGACGCCGAGCCGCTGTCCGCCTACAGCCTGCGCGTCCTGTCGTCGCTGCTGCCCGCGCCGCTGGGTGCGGGGGTGCGGGTGATCCCAGTAAGCGGCGACTTCCGGAGGCGTCGCCTCCGGGCCAGAGTCTGTGTAGCAAGAGGACCGAACCCTCGCGGGCGGGCGTCCTGGGTCATGCATCGCTGAGTCACCCAGGGGGACCGGGCGCGACACCGTTGCCATCCAGCCCACCCCGCCTTTCTCCCTCAGGCGGCCTTGCCCTGGGTTTAGAGTGGCCCCAGCGCCCAGACAACTCGGGAGCAAGTGTGTTTGCTGGGCCTTGTTGTCACACTGGCTCTGAGGAAGCAGCCCAACGTAATGGTAGCGTAGTGAGAGTTCAGGTGTTTGTATCTTACTTTTTTTGTTTTGTTTTTTTGTTTTTGTTGTTTTTTGGTTTTGCTTCCTATGGTGCTGGGGCTGAAGCCCAGGGCCTTGGTCATGCTAGGAAAGCACTACCACTAAGCTTCATCCCCTGCCCATTTCACTTTTTTCCCCCCCTTAAATAGATCAGGCTTGTTAGGCACACCAAGGACTCCTCCGTATTTGTGTTTGTTGAGCCTTGAAATCAAAGTATTAGATTGTCCCTCTGGGAATAAGGGCTGGGTCTTTAAGCATATACAATAGAAATCAGAGCCTGAATGAATTTTGCTGACTTAGCTAATTGCCCTTTCTGGCCATGGAGAGTCACTGATAATTCTCTTTCTTTTTGCTGAAACTAGAAGAAACAGGTCCTCCCACCCTTTCTTTCTTTTTATGAAATGAATCAGATTTCCAAGGAAACAAAGTGTGCATTTCCCCAAAAAAAGGTCCAGTTTAGAACACTGGATTACTCATCCATTCAAGCATTTTAAGGGTCTAGGAAGCCTTTGTGGACCATTTTTAAATTGGTGCTGAGATGATTGGAGCTTTACTTCATATGACATAAGCCACAGCTGCAGAAGCTCAGATTTCTGTTTTTCTGGTTCTCTTTTGTCCTAATCTGCCCTCTTTAGTGTACAGGTAAAGGTGGGGCAGAGCCTGGGGTCTTTGCCATTCTCAGTTTGTCCTTAGAGGAACCATGGAGCACAGCCTTAACCCAGGGAAAAGACCTCTCAGAACCCTTTCCAGCTGGGGTCCCAGTACCTCCTTCCTATTGGTTCTCACAGAGTTGGGACAGGGCAGGGGATTAGCTGATGTCAAAGAGAGCATAGTTCTCCCCCAGGGTCATCCAGGTTTGACAGATTGCTGGTCTGACAAAATAAAAGAGAGGCTTTGCCTTTTGAATTTTTATGGACTGTTTCTTGATTAATAAAATGAAAAATATGTCTGGGGATTTAGCTCAGTGGCACGGCTCCTGCCTTGCAAACACAAGGTCCTGAGTTCCATCCCTGGTACCAAAAATAAATAAATTAATTAAATGAAAAAATATAGAACATGGGCATATTATCATTTAAACAGTACCATTATTTTAAACTAAATATCTAGATGACTTGCTTATTTCCTTTTTTCCCCTGGAAATATATTTGCACTATTGTCCTTCATTTAGACTCATTCTGTAAAAGCAGAATTTCATTGTAGTGTAAATAGGTGAGACAGTGATTACATGGAACCGAGGAAATGATATAACATTTGTTGGTTATAGGGAGACAAGTTAAATATAAACTTTGATGTGATGTGCATGGCAAGTTCCCTAAAGCAGCAAACAAAAGAAAAAGTTCAAGATTTCTGCATTTTATAAGATTTGAGGTGTTTAAAATAAAGCTGTAACCTGAAATCTAGTTAAATTGTTAGTCTGCTGAGCTAAGGATTTGCCAATCTGTGGTAATTGTTATTGTTTGGGTCACTGAATTTTTTTAGATCAGTGTCCAAATTTGAGTTACCCCCATGTTTGGCAAGGTAGTACCTATTCTGTGATTTCCTGTGAGGACTTTGGAATGTTGCCTTGGCATCAGCACCGGTTTTGAAGGACTCTGAGCAGCCTCCTGGCCTTCTGGGAGGCTCACTCGTGTTCTGACAGGCAGCCCAGGCAGGCAGGGGTGAGGAGCTGGGTAAGGATGGTGCAGTGTGCCGTGCTTGCCACCCTTCCTCACACTCTTAGCTGATGCTCAGAGGAAGCAACCCAATATTGAAACACTCAGTTCTGATGGGAATTCTTTTCACCATCGAGACTTTTCAGTCTATACAATTCCATTGATTTTTCAGTAATATCATTTTGGTTTTCCCTATTTTTGGCAATTTTGCTAGTGTGCCATTGAGTTGAGCATTGTTGCAGAGAAGTGCTTACAAATGAAGCTGGTGATTATCTCCAATGCTCACTGTTTCATGTTATTGTCCTACTGTTACGTCAGGAATGGACTACTCCTGGTGTCATAACTATTACTTTACAGCCAGAATGATAAATTATAGTATAAATAATGCTAAGACATCACTGAGAATTAGGGGCTTCTTGAGGTAAAAGCAAAATAATTAACTAGAACATTCAACACAACCCACTGAGCGAGCAGAAAGGATGTGCAGTAAAGGAGATGCTAAGGAGGCCCCACCAGCCTTCCCGCTGTGGTAGAGTAGGGGCTGTTACACAGAACGAGAGCCACACCACCAACTGGGGACTCTGGTGGCACAAGCACCACATCAAAATCACATCTCCATACCTTACAGTTTTGGTCCTCAGAGTCCTCAGTCCCGTGGGGCTGCATAGATGACTTGTCACCTTTTCTAGGGAGGATAATGGCTTTAGACACACCAGGGGGAAAGGGAGGAAGGTACAGTACTCTAACATGTAACTTGTATATGGAACTCAAATTTGTTTGTTTATTTTGATACCGGGGATTGTTCACTCAGGACCTTGTGCTTACCAGGCAGGTGCGGTGCCACTGAGCTACATCCCGGCCTGGAACTCAAATTTGAATGTTCTATATTGTACAATGTACCCACAAGTGTTCTCTGAATTAAAGATTACTTTTCCTAGGTCGAAATAAAGGAAGCAGGTAGCACTGTGACAAGTAATCTGGAGGAAGCAACTTTCCCAAACCCTCTTGCTCAGGAATCCTGTTGCAAGCTTCTATCATCCCGAGAAGCAGAGGACTCGGCTAGCTCCTCTCCTAAGAAAGACTCCAGGCCGATGGTAACTATACCAAAAAGAGCGTGCACCACAGGTGTTCTGTTAAATGTCAGCCTATCGTTACTAAGCAGATAGATCATCCCTCCATTGTTTCTCCCCTTCTTTACTTGTTGGATCAGTACTCTAGGTAGGGCTCATCTACAGAGGAGGACTCACTAGGGCATTTGACTTTTCACCTTTCACCTCTAAGATTCTCATTTGTCCTTGATCTTAGCAAATCAAACAAGAATTGGGATGTTGCTGTGCTCATTAAGGAGAGACCACAAGTGATTTCAGTTCACAAAGAGCTGGGCATCAGGCACTGGAATGGGAAAAGCAGTTGAGCCCTCAGTTTTGGCATATTTCGGAGGGAAGGAGCTGCAGTTCTATGGCTTCAGGGCAGAGGCCCCTCCTTCCTCCCCTTTTTCCCTACCTCCCTCCAGATTTCTTTCTCCTTTTCTTGCTTGCTTTCTTGCTTTCTTTCTCTTTTTTCTTCCTCTCTCTCTCTCTCTCTCTCTCTCTCTCTCTCTCTCTCTCTCTCTTTCTAAGGTTCTTGCTATACAGTTTAGGCTGGCCTTGAACTCACTAGCCCAGGCTGGCCCCAAAATCATGGCAATCCTCCTGCCTCAGCCTAAGTGCTGGGATTACAGGCATGTGCCACCATGCCCAGCCTCCTTTCAGATTTCTAATGATAACAACTACCACTTGTGAAGGAATGTAATCTGTTACTCCTGGGGTTTGTGTAATATTTTTGGACCTGTGCTATATCATTTAATCCTCCTAAAACTCTAGGGTGGGCATGACTTTTAATCCTCATTTCATGGATAAGACAGTAGAGATGTTAGTTACACTGCCTGCACTAGTCTTCATCATCATCATCATCGTCGTGAGTGGTGTGCCTAGAACTCTTGATCTCATGCAGTGAGGGCTAGGCTGGGGGGCCCAGGGGGTCTCCTTCAGCATTCCTTTAGCAAAGTGCTCTGTGATTGTTTTCCCTTCAGCAGGTCTCTTCTTCTACAATGAGACCCCAGCTCTCAGGCACAGACAATATCCAGGAAATACTTGAAAATGAGCTCCCCGTGAAATTTGGCTAAGCTGTGGCAAACATTTGCACCCACCTCTGACTGTGATTCCACTCGGGTCCTTCTCTGACAATGGAGTTTTTTTGGGACCTACAGGCCTGCGGGATGAGAACCCTCTGATTCCCCTAGACTGCAAGTGGATGTCAGTAGATGCTCTGAAGTGTCAACCCAAGAGTGTGCAACACAGGCCTGGAAAGCCTGCTCTCAGCCTTTCCCCGGTTTAATGCACACTTGTGAACATAGTTACAACTGTATCCTCCAAATACAAATAAAATCCCACTAGACATGAGCACTGGCTTCGCATGAAATGTCAGGACCATGTGACATTTCAAGCTAGGGACCTGCCCCTTCTACCCTAGTGGCTCTCTGTTATTTTGATGACATTGGCCTTTATGCCCATTATGATTTTCCTGTCCAACCTAAGGGCAGAAACCAGTGCTTCTCTGTGTGGCTGTGGTATTGTCATCAGAATTGGGAGCTGTGTGGGGGCAGAGATTGTGGCTCATTTGACCACCATGTGCATGCTGTATGTCACACAGAGAGCTGAATCAGTGCTTTTGCTTGACTGATGGGATGGGCTGACAGACTCACTTGGCTTGCCGAGAATTTACTGTTAGTCAGAGTCCAAATAGGGGATCTGATGGTGCATGGCAGGGCCAGAAAGGTTGATATGGCTTCTTAGAATTGTCTAGTTCTTGAATTAACTTTTCTAGACTATACTTGTAGGAAATAGACATTAAAAATGTACTAAATAATAACTTATGTGGCAGGAAAGAGCAACCACAGTTAAACTAAAGTTTAGTTTTCATATACGCCCAGCCACAGAGAGGGCCTCATGGGACCCAACTAGGTCTGAAAGGTGCCAGGGCCAGCAAGCAGCCCACTCCCTGTTAGTGTGGGCTATAGAGTGAAGCACAAGGCACAGGAAGCTCTGTGTATGGTTACCCCATCCTTACACTCAGCCTCAGTGGCTGGACCTCTATGGAGGAAGACGGGAAGAACTAGAGTACACAGAGCACACTGCAGGAAATGGCTTTGGGAAGTATAGGAAACAGTTATTGTAGAGGGAGAAATTGAGAATAGATCCATAGTTTTCCAACTTTCCCTAAAATTTAAATCCTGGATTAAAGCTCTTTTCCCAGATTTAAGTTTACTTAGGTTTGTATGACTGGAGTAATGAAACTGGATTGTTGTTTTTCATTTTAGGTGATATGTCAGTTAAAAGGGGGCACACAAGTGCTGTGTATAGACAATTCTGGCACAAGAGAACTAAAAGCACTTCATTTGGTTCCTCAGTATCAAGACCAAAATAATTGTCTACAGTCAGGTACAAAGTAAATGCATGAAAATTATGTCATATGTCCTGTATAAGTTGGTAAGTGGATATGTTTGGCTTCATATATAAAAGTCAAAGAGACAGGATATTAAGCAGATGATGTGGCACACCTCCTAGCCCACAGTAGTGAGTGACATAGTCTTAGGACGGTGTCTAACAAAATCCACCATTGATTCCGAGAAGGAGTATGTCTATGTAGTCCTCACACACTCGGGCCACTGTAGATGTTGAGCTGACTGGAATGTTTCATTACCAGACACTTCCTGGCCTACCAGCAATCTAAAACCAGGGTCAAACCCAGGGTAGTTTATGTTGGCCTGTGAAGTCTGGAGCGAAAAGAGAAACCGTGACCCCTTATCTCCATATTCCCTCCTTCTCTGGGGACCAGGAAATGTCTTTGAGACATTGACTTCTATGGTGGAAGAGCTGGAGCTGGGCCTTGCCCCAAGAAGCCCCTGGCTACTTAGGAGTCTCCAGCCTCAGTTCTCTGGTCCCTGTAGGTCATGGGTAATCCGTGATGCTCTCTGCATGCAAGGAGATGTTTTTTCCTCTGGCAAAATCCTAACACCTTCAGATCCACAGAAAGGAGGTTTATGTAATGTTTTTCCAGTTCAGTCTCCTTGTCATGTGATCATGGCCCCTCCCAAGGCTGCTTGCATATATAAAATATGCTGCATGCTATTAAACATTACCATAAAATAGTGCTCCCTGTGGCCTAAATCCATCACTCACTCAAAGGATAGAAGCCTAGAGAAGGAAGTGTGTTCAGTTTGCAGGGGTGGGCACAGGCTGAGGAGTGGAGGACATGAACGTCTCTCCACTTGGACTCCAGAGTATTGAGGTCTGCAGCCCCGCAAGTGTCTCAGGGATGTTCTTCACCATGCCCCTAGGCCAAGGAAATGCCTTTCAGTTCTAGCATGAGTAGTTTAGTCCAAATAGTTTCATAAGCATTTACATCCTACAACTTACTATTTGAAGAGGACGTAAATGGCAAGTAGTTCGTGCAGTGTCCAACAGGTGTCACTGGTCTTTCATTGAAAAGGTAACCTACCTGGTGCTGCCCTGGTGAATTTGCTACAGCACCCATAGTGCCTGCCACAGTTCGGGAACCTGTGTAGTAATAATGCTCTTTTACTGTAGTGAACTATCCCTTGAAAGCTCAGATCAAGTAACTTTACGACAAAACCTCCAAAAAAATCAAATAAAGGTTATAAGTTTAAAAAAATACCCTGAATTAAAAGGTTTTATACAATAAAACCACAAATAGAATAAGTAACTTTGTACATGATAAATCCAGAATATATTTTGGTAATTTCTGCCATATACAAGTGAAAGAAGAACAATATATCAATTAATTGTAATTGTCTTCCTTACAGATGTCTCTAAACCACTGACTACTTTAGTAGGAAGATTTTTGCCAGTACCAGCAAAACTAAATCTCATTACACAACAAGTGAGTCATTGTTTCAATACTAAAATACAACTGGGCATTATTGTCTCTTGAAATTTCAGTCGTTGCAGTTGAAATCACTCAGGAATAGAATTTATCCTCCAGTTAAAAGTTGGCAGTACAACATTTACCAAGTATTGGATCCTTCAACCCTATGGCAGGTGTGGGCGGGATGCAGTGAGTAGGAGACATGGTTCTTTGCCAGTCCAGGGACCCAAGTTGCCCTTCCCCACCCCCTTGCTAACCTTGCCTCAGGGCTGTGGACCTGCTTTTTTAAATTGTGCTTTTGTGATGACACCATACTATGCATGTATTACATATAATTAGAAGACATATGCTTTTGTCCCCGAGTTCTGCCATAAAGTGTTCCTCCCTACTACAGAACTTCTCTGACTCCCTAGCATAGAGAGCCAGTCACTGTCACAGCACTGATCTCATCCTCTGCACAGCACTGTCGTCGTCTTCTGTCGTTTGGTCTGTCTGTCTGTCTGTCTGCTTCTACACACAATGCACCTCCACAGACATAGAGTCCCTGTGTGTCATTCATTTCTGTAAACAAAGACCTGGCAAAAGGCCTGGCATGTGGGGAATTTGCTCACTTGCATCAGGACCAGTGCTGGCCTGAGACATCAGCAAGCCTGCAAACAAAACAAAACTAAACAAAACACTCAACTCTACTCTTCTGCAGCTTACCTTTTAATGCAGGCGGCAGGCAACAAGCAAACCTAACAAGGAAATGATACAGTGTGTCAGGAGAATAGAGGAGGAGGATTAGGAGAATGGGTGGCTTTTAAGTTCAAGTAAGGTGGTCACAGCTCCATGGAGAAGGTGACATTTGAGCAAGTCTTGAAAGAGATGAGTGAACATATGGTCATCACAGGAAGAACCTTCCAGGGAGAGGGAACAGCACAGACCTCAAGGAGGGTCATGCTTCATGCAGTGACAGCAAGGGGCCAGCAGGGCTGGGCCAGAGTGAGCAAGAGAAGGCCAGTAGAGAGGAAGTCCAGGGCAAGGGAAGGTCCGTGGCTTTCACTCTGCTTAGAAGGGGGCTGCTGGAGGAGGGCCAAGGTGGAGGCAGATGAACCTGCTGAGGCTGTAATCTGCATGCGGGATGATGATGGCTCAGACCAAGTAGTAGCAACAGAAGTGGCAAGGAGTAGCTCCTCAGGACTTTGTAGGTTGAGCCAACAGGATATGTTGCTATTGGAGCATCTCAGGGATAGAAAGAGGCAGAGGAGTCAAGGATGGAGTAAGATGGAGTCACAGCTTCTTGCCAGCTCTCTGAAACCATGTGGCCCTTTCCCACAGCCTGCAGACCCATCACTGTGCCCCTTTTGCTGATTCTTAGCCTGAACAAATGGAGAGGTAGAGTTTGCATCAGGAAGATGAACTAGTGCAGGTGTTTCAAGGGAGTCCAGGAGTTCCAGTTCTGCCTGACCTATAAGTTGGAGGCATCTCAGGCACCCCATGCAGATGTGCAGGAGGCCAGAAAGAGAAAGATCTGGGCAGGGGGATGAAGCTGGGACTCAGTGGTGCAGGGATGGTATTGAAAGCCATGCAAATAGATGAGTCTAGGAGGTAGCAAGTGTGAATAGGGTGAAATATTTGTTGAAAGGATAAGTATATTATTTCTCAAGTTAGATGTTAGCCAGGAGAAAAAATCATACCAAGGAGTACAGGAGACACACAGGTCTAGGCCACAACTGGTAAGCAGCTGCTAGGTAGTCTGTAGGTGCTGGGAAGACACTTCCATCTGCTGGCACTGCCCACACCACCAGTTTCCTTCCTTCACTGTTTGAGCCACCACCCAGAAAGGTACCCTCATGCTTACTCTTCCATCTCTAAGATCTAGCATGAGAAATGCCCAGTGACTAAAGCCTCCTGCCTCCTTCTCCTCCTCCCCATCTTTCCTCAACTGTGTATGTTATTGTCCATCTTGGCTCCCCTGACTTCTTGCCCTGTGACATAAGAGACAGTTCTTTTAATACTACATTTGTCACATCCCAAGAATCCCTGGCTTCCTTGCCAGACGACGAGTTCTGTATGTTCCTTAGGGCCTCTCCACTCAAAGCATGGTGCATGATGGGAAGCACTGACATTCCCTCTGAGCCTGCTAGAAATGCAGAATCCCAGGGCTTGCGTAGGCCTGAGACTCAGATATGCTGGATCAGAATCTGCATGTTAACACATCCCCAGGTGGTTTGTGCACACAGGATCGGCTAGAGGCACCACCTTAGAGTTCAGTCTTCACTCCTGGGAGCCAGACATTGCTGAAGGAACTCATGAGCTCTGACATAAAGTTGTCCTAGATTAATGACCCCTGTAGTACCTAAAAGGTGTCTCTGTTTCCTGCCTTACTTTGAGGCTAAATAAGAAAAATGGGAGGAGAAGTAACTTTACCTGGTTTATCCAAAGAATTGCCTTGATCCTGCGAACTGTGAAATTCCCCCTCCTGAAAGGATGCAAAACCTTCAGGCTGCTGTTTGGAGATGGCAAGGAGTACCCACAGCTCATTCTGGCCAGGAGCAGGCACCCTGGGGGAAGCCTCAGGGGGCTCAGGATTCTGATGTGTAGCTAAGGAAGCTGGACCAGGATGGTTTCCCAATGTCTTCCAGCTCTCACAGGTGGTGATGACACAGGACTGAAGAAGGGGCAGGAGACAGGAAGTCAAGAGGATGGATAACGGGTGCTTTTCAAGACCATACTTTATGAATAAAGCTCATTTTTAATCTCCATTTTTGGAGGGCAGAGGGACAAGGACAGGATGTTTACCTGTGAAATACAAAGCATTTCGAATCTAATTTTATCTCACGCTCTCAGAAGAAAGTTAGGCCAATGACGGATTGGCTGCCCACCCTTTTCCTACACCTCAGTGGTAGAAAGGAAAATATGGCCTGAGAGAGCAGAGGACATGGATGACACAGATGGTGGTGTTGCTTTGCAATGTGTTAAAATTCACTATAAAATATTGTTTTGAATAGATTGAAAAATAATGACTACAAAAAGACTTCAAAGATCCAAATCTCTTATACTAAGACCATAATAAGACTGCTTTCAGTTTATGGAAAGTTGTAATTGCTTTTACTTCCCAACTGGTAATTCCTAAAAAGGAAATAGAGTTCTATTACAGTATTCTTCCCCAGACAGCTGACAGCTGGCTCCTTGCCAGCTTCCCCACTGTGGCCCTGCCTTCCCCACTTCTGTCTGGGTCCCAGTGTCCTATGGCTAGGCAGGCCCTTGAGGCAGCCTCGACATAGTGTGCTCAGGTGGTAGTGGATTCTTTGTGGTAATAGGCTGGGTGTGGTTAAAAAGAGATTACAGTGTGAACCTAGAGCAGAGATGGTGAGCCCTTAAGAGCTTTCAGTGATACCAGCAGCCCACTGTGACACATGTGCCCTAGGTTCACTACCACTGATGTAGAGGAAAAAGAATGTTTATCTGTACATAGAGGCTGGCTGGCTGGAACTCTGAGTACAAGTGCTGATGCAAAACATTTTTCCTTTGACTCTGTACAGCTTGACAGTGGTGCCCTCCCATCAGCAGCCAACAATGGGCCTGCTTTCCCCTCGGAACCGACTCTTCCAGGGCCATCAAAAATAACTTTGGCTGGGTAAGGATTAAAAGCAATACATTATTAGTTCCTTTAATGTAAGAGTTATAGAGGCTTTGGTGTACCTTTGGGGTTCCTTTTGTACTGCAGAATTAACTTCAGAAAGATTAGTTCTGACCTGACCAGAGCCCCTGACCACGTGGCTATGGACATGTGGTTGGTGTTGCTGGAAAGTCTGGTCTGGAGCAGCCCTTGGTTTGCACCCCACTGTCCCCTGTTCTGTGCCCAGGATTTGGGGCTTGTTGCCATTTGTAGCGTGGCTCAGTTTCACATAGTTTCAAGATATGCTGGTCTATTTCTTTTTTTGTTGTCATCAATGCAAGTAATCCAGTGGAAGCCACCTAATACAGGTGGTGGCTGCAGAGCTGCCTGTGCCCACTGCCTTCTGTGCTGAGCCAGTGCCAGCTCCGTGGCAGGGTCCTGGTGAGTCTGTACTCGTATCTCTGATGGACGTGAGCTGCTCTGAGCTGGGACCTTGTCTTGCCATTTTAAAGTTGTGTTTATGACTGTAACTAATTCACCTAACCGTGCTGGTTGAAATGCTTTGTCAAGAATTCATGTGCTGACTGTGGTCTGGCTCGTCCTTTCTCCGGAGTCCTGAATTGAATCAGTGAGCTCAATCTGTTCCTGCCTCTAAGGGTCTTGTGGCCAAGTCTATGTAGTCATGAATCTGGGGCCTGGAGGACCCTTCACAACACCTTGTGAAAGGCGAACTGACCTCTGGTGCTGTCCAGTTCCTGCAGGGTCTGCCCTTGGGCACAGCAAGGCCTTGGTAAGTGCTAAGAAAGCGGTCTGAGGGCAGGAATGAAAGACTGTTGAGTGAAGTCCTAGAGGGGCCCTGAAGACAGACAGACTGGAGTCTAGTCCCCTCTTGGGGCTCCTCGCTGGCACTGGGAGGTGGCTGTGCTCGGGACCTGCTGACTCGGTTTGAGTGGGTGTTCCTTCAGCTGCTGGCTTCCAGTGACTGTGATGGACAGGGACTGTGGTGCCACTGTCCTTGCTCACTCCCTCATGTGATGGATCATGAGGTTACAATTGGTATTGTCATCGGTCACCTCGTCATTAACATTTCTGGATGAAACAAAAACATCTTAAGAAATTTCTAGATTCTGCCAGTAGCATTGCATCTTCAGCTGCATAGTATAATCTGAGATTCCACAAGCCTCGAGATGCTTACAGTACATCTAGTCAATGATATTGTGCCACTGTGTGCTCTGGTGTGTCTAGAACAGTGTGGGTTCTCACACTGGCATACCTATCTGAGCCCTCATTGTGGTGCAGCCATTGCGCATTTTCAGAGGAGCAGCTTTCTCTGTGGCAAACTTTCTTTTTCCCTCTGCTTTCTTCCCTTGCTTTCTCTCCCCTCCCACTCCTCCTCCTCTTCCTCCTCTTCAGTCTATATTAGATTTTCTGAGTCACACATTTTTCTTTATTTTGAAGTAATTATGCAAGATACAAAAGCTTTTCTCATTATACGTGATGTGTCAGGAGCAACATGAGCTTTGTTTGTGAGGGGTTTTTTTGGTTTGGTTTTTTTTTTGCTGCAAATAATTACTCGATTCACCATCACTCCCCTGAATCAGCCCTGATAATTTTTATCTCAACACCCACAGCACTGATACTGTTCTGGACTCTGCCAGTTTATCATTGCTAATGAGGGAGCACTCAGAGAACTGTTGGCTGGTGGTTTTCTTCTGTATGTTCCCAACCACCACTGATTTAGTGCATTTTCCATCCCTTCATATGCCTCGTTAGCCCTCTTTTGACTCTCATGAGGTCAGCCTAGGTCTGAAGGTATCAAAAAGAAGCTCTTGGGCTGGGGATTTAGCTCAGTGGTTTCGCCGCCTGCTGCGTAAGTGCAAGCACCCGAGTTCGATCCCTGGTACCAAAAAAAAAAAAGAAGAAGAAGCTCTTCAACCCAACATGGTTCCAACCTATCTAAACTATCAGGTGATACAGAAGTAGGTTGGCTTGGGCCTTGAGGCCAAATGCACAAATTGACTCAATCATTGTTCTTAGAGCTGGGTACTGAACTGGTTAGCTTATTCATCTTTGGTTATTATAGTACCAGAAACCCTCTTAATAAAAAGTCATGTCCTGTATGGGCTTCTACAAAGTCCTGGAGTTCTTGTGAAGGAGAATTTTCTGCTTCTATATGTTGGCCCTTTTTATTCTAATAGCAATCACATAGATAATTTTTATACTAATTTGGTCAGTGTAGAAGGCTGGCAAAAAAATCATGTCGTATTACTGTATAGCTTTAATAATCTGCCCCTCAGTCAGGTCATAAATGTGAATCCTGACACAAGGCTGATGCTATCATTTTTGGTAAATACTCAGCTTCATAATAAAGAACAGCCAGAGCCTGCATCTCTGGAAGTTTTTCTTAAAGATGAGGAGACATCTCCTTGTGGGGTAGGTCACCATAATGCTTTTCTGAGGCAGTGCTGTCTAGATCCTGTGTAACCCTTCTAACTTTTAGGTTGGCCCAAGAGAAGATCAAATGAAATCTTTCCTGCCTTGTTGCCATTACAGTGGGAGAGTCCCTTTCTGTCCCCTGCATACCATGTGCTCGTGGCTAACATGGTGCTGCTCATGCTGCTCTTTACATAAGACATTTTTTGACCCACAATAAAGAAACTTTGCAACCTTAAACATAATTAGTTCTGCTTCCTTCAGTAGTAGTTTAATTGTTTTCCATCTGTATTAAATTATCCTGAGCCTGAATTTTTGTAGTACTTACAATTAGTATAAACAATTTTACAGTGGATTATGTACTATGTTATGCTCTCTAAATTTTCAGTGGTCCATCTCATGTCCCCAGTTATTTGGTGGATTCTTCCATGACAGACACTGTAAATTTAAAAGATATTTATTTCTGATATCCTTTGAAGCATCTGCCTCTGTCTTGGTCATGTGACTGGCCCATAGTCCAAGCAGGCTGGCTGATCTTGCCACTGCAGTTACTCACTGAACTCTTACTCCCTTAGTATCTTAGGAGCCAAGAGTGTGCAGCTCAGACACAGGGGACAGGACCAAAGGCTTGGCCTCCCTCTGGGCATAAAACCTGAATTATAACCATACAGCAAACAGCACAGCATTCACCCTGCACCAAGTGCTATTCTAGATCCTTAAGAAATTTAGGCTGGGCGTGGTGGTGCACACCTGTGATCCCAGCACTCAGGTGGCTGAGGCAGGAGGATTGCCATGAGTTTGAGGCTAGCCTGGGCCACATAGTATGTTCAAGGCCAGCCTGAAGTACATATTGAGGCCCTGTCTCAAAACAAACAAACAAACAAAAAAAAGAAATTTAGGACTTGATGTGCCCTTGGGCAGAAGCAGCAGTACATGACAGAAATGAAAGCTCAGTGCAGTACGAGCTCACCTGCCGGGCCCTCCTCATACTCAGGGTTTGCCTGTGTCCCTCCTTTCACTATCACCAGTTCCACTCTGGCATCACTGATGTTGTGAGTTCTCACAGTAAGCATCCCCTCTGAACAATGCCCGCACTCATCAATACTTGAGCCACCTGAGGAAGGGAGTTCTTTCTTCTCCTCTCAAGGTGGCTGCTGGGCAAATCACACAGGGTGTTGGTAGGCAGTTGTAATAATCCCTTCCCCAAATGAAGGCAATCCCCGAAGCTCACATGATACACTCAAAACAGACTTTGATACTGTTGGTAACATTACAGTGTGGGCAGCTTTAACATTGGTATAGACAATGGTTATCCTTGATGCATACTTCCCATTAGCATTTAGATGGGAGGCACTTGGTAGGGGAAAACACACAGAGTAGAAAGAGAATAGACATTTAAACAGGTCAGAGAAAAAACTCTAGGAAGCTTTCTGGAAGTGTATACAGCAATAGGACCCCCCTTTCTCACCCTGTGGGTTGCCAGCCATGCACTGGTGGGTCAGGCAAGGCCAGTGGCATCATGTGTGGACTGTGCTGCCACCCCCAGTACATGCCCAGGCACCTAGAAATAATACCTGTAAATGTCTGGTGTTGGATTCTTAGTGTTCAAAACACCAGATGCTTAGCTAATTCTCTTTTTACAGAGTAACCATCTGAATACATTTTCTTTTTTAATCTTTATAGAGTAACTCTTAGTTCATGGGACACAAAGTCTAAAAAGCCATGTAACTGTACCAAATCCCAGTGTCTGAAATTGTAAGTAACCACAAATCCTTCATTATTAAATATGAAATAAGGTTGTTTAAAAGTCAGTAAGTGGAGCACAGTGTAGACAAACCAAACAGTTTAGTAGTGCATCTTGACACTCAATGTAAACCAGAACAAGCAGAAGCCATGCTTTTGGCATGAACCTGGTTTGAATCTTGTGGAATTATCTTGTCCTGTTAACTTAAAAACTGGCATTTCCCACACTTCAAGGGGTGCAATTTTCTTGATTTTGGTTTACATCCTCTAGTCTAGTCCCTCTGGCAGTGCTAATGTGTCATCATTGTTGAGGATTAACTGTAACATTTCCACATCCTGTTTTCTAAAAGTCTGATAAATTGGTTTACAATCAGCTTTCCCATTGCTGAGATACAATACCTGAAACCCACAATTTAAAGGAGGAGAAGGTATTTGGTGCATGGTTGGCTGGCTCCAAAGCAGAAGGGTGTGGTGAAGCAAAGCTGATTAGTTCATGGTGGCTAGGAACCACAGCAAGGAAAATAGTGCCAGAGAGGAAGGGGCAAGGGACCAAACATAGAACCCAAGACATGCCTCTGTGACCTAGAAATGTGTTCCACCAACCCCTCAGGTGGATCCCAAAGCCAAACAATTGACACTCTACCCTAACCACCTCATGCCACCCTTTGTCAAGTTCATGCTTTCTTAAACAATACTTAATCTCCAAATAAGGACAATAATGAGTACATAATTCCACCTAACATAATACAGCTATCCTGCATACAAGAGAAAGGCAACAATCCCTTCCCCCAAAGTCTCAGCAGTTCTAGCATTTTTCAAAAGTCCAAGCCCAAGTCTCTTTTGAGACTCAAGGCAAACTCATAGCTGTGAACTTCTGTAAAAATAAAAAAACTAGTTATATAATCCCGTGGTACAATAACATAAGGTAAACATTACCATTCCAAAAGGGAGGAATAGGAGGATAGAAAAGAATCAGACCAGGGCCAGGGATGTAGCTCTAGGGGTGTAGTGCCTGCCTGGCAAGCTCAAGGTCCTGAGTTCCATCCCTGGTACCAAAAAAAAAAAAAAAAATCAGATCAAAGCAAGACTTAAACCCAGCAGGACAAACTTTAAGTCCTATAGCTCTGTATCTGGCATCTGGGGCATACAGTGGTAAAAAAATGAGTTCCAAAAGGCTTGGGCAGGCTGATCCATATGGCTTTGACCATTGCAGCCCACATAGTTTCTCTCTTGAGTTGGCTCCACTCCTGGCTTGCAACTTTTTCCAGCAGGTATTCCATGTTTCTGGTATCTCCAACTTTCTGAGATCTCCACTGTACCTTTGGGTTCATTCCCACAGCTTCATGCACTGCCCTCTCAGGGACTCTTTGCCTTACCTTTGAGGCTTTCCTTTAAAACCTGGGTAGAATCCTTCCTCACCCCATATATCTTGCATTCTACATACCAGTAAAACCAGTATCACGTGAATGACATCAAGGTCTGTGTCAGTGAGAGTAGCAGTCAGGCCCTCTTGGACTATGGCTTCAGTGGCCTCTAAGTGCCTGGAGCACTGTGAAATGAATCCTGGGAAACCAATTCCCTTCTTGAGTAGAGGTCCCAAGGACTCTCTTCTTGAACAAAAGGTTTACAGTTTTACAGCCTTGAGGCTGCAATGAATAAAGTCTTTCTGGTTTCTGAGATGCCCTTAAGGCATCTTTCTTCTTTCCCTATACAACATACTTGATATCTTTTTAATGGCACAAATCTCTTCAGCAGCCACACTCCCTTTGACCCCAGCTTTATACATTGTTCTATCTGGGTGAAAATTGAAGATTTTCAAATTTTTCTGCTCTGCCCTTTTGCCCCCAATTCTCAATTATAAACCTGGGTAAAAGCCACCACCAGTACCCATGCCACAGCCTGAATGTTAGGTTGCCTTTGAATTTCCTCCACCAGATTAATTAGTTCACTACCATTAATGTCAGTGTCCTACAATGTCTGAGAACATGGGCAAGATGTAGACAAATTTTCTGTCAGACTATAACACAGATGGCTCCTAGTCCATTTTCCAATGAAATCTCTGTTCCCAACTGAAACTTCCTGAGTCTGCCCTTTACTGTCCACATTCCTAGCAACATCGTGATCTTCTGAGCTCTGATCAAAATCACCTATCAAGCTCTGTTTATAGCATTCCAGGACTTCTCTAGCCTGCATCTCCAAATCTTTCCAAACTCTTCCTGCAAACCAGTTCCAAAGGTTTCTAAACTACACAGTTAGATACAGTTATAATAATCCTATTTACCGAGTACAATTTTCTGTATTAACTTTACTATTGGTGGACACAATACCCAAAACCCTTGACTTAAAGAAGAAGTTTAATTTGGCTTATGTTTTAAGAAGATTCAGTCCATGGTCAACTAACTCTGAGGTAAAAATATCATGACAGAAAGATGTGGTGATGCAAAGCTGCTTAGTTTGTGGTGGTCAGGAAGTAGAGTAGGGAAACAATGCCAGAGAGGAACAGGAAAGGGACCATATATAATACCCAAGGCCATGCCTCCATGACCCACCCAGACACATCCAAGGGTGTGCTCCACCAATCCCTCAGGCAGACTCCAAAGCACATCAAGTTGACACTTCACATTCACTGCCACAACTATATTGAAATTCTCTCATAAAAATTCCTCCCACCAGGGTACCAACTCCCAGGGGGCTCAGTGGGGGTGGTGGGGGTGGTAGGGCTGATGGTCCAGCAGAACTATGAGCTGGAAGTAGACAGTATGGCTACCACAAGAAGTGGCCTTAATGGCTGTGTTTAGCAGCACTTGAAGCTGCTGTCCTGTCCACCCTGCCAGACTGAGCATCTGTCACTCAACATTGCCTGCCCTGCCCTCATCTCTTGCTGTAGGCTACTTCTTCCCATTCTTTATGTTACTTAGCCTTAGTTCCACTTGGGAAGGGGAGAACATGTCCCATTTCCTATGTCTAGCAACCCTAACCACAATCTCCACATGACTTTCCATTGCAGAGCTGCTGAAGTTGCTGAGAGCCCCACTGAAGGGACAAAGATGTGGGGCCCACATGGGTAAAACCTAGAAGTCTGAAACTCGGTTCACAAAACAAACCTGCAAAGCAAATTGGACTTTTATAAGTAATGCTGAAATCTGGGGTTGACTGAAAATATTTGCGCTGTTCTTGGTTTAGTCTGTAAATGCAAGGCATGTGCCTCTCTAAACATTGGAAACATCAGAGATCAGTGATCAGGAAACTAAAGGTGCATCTGTGTTGAGGAGGAATGACAAGGTGGCCCTGTCTCGGGTGGACAGAGCATGCAGGGTGGAGGGCTTCTGTGGACAGGGACAGGAGCTGCTCAGCCACTGGCAGGGTTTGCGGTCTGGGTGGGTCAAATACTCTTGAAGCCTACAGCAAGGTATAGACTATAATTGGGGCCTGTTTTGCTTCATAATTAGCTTATTAAAAGATTAGTTGTAAAACCCACTTTTATAACAGGATTTTTTTGAGATAGGCAGCAATGAAAATGTTCAATTCTAAGTCTTTGAGTGAAAATTTCATAGAGTAGAAAGGAACCCTTTCCACTGGCTGGAGAAATATCTCTTCTTTCATGAGCACTCTGAAAGTAGGAATTGATTCGTATTATAGGTATAGATTTTTTTTCAGGACAGTTTTGATCAGCCCTTTCCTATATTGACTTCAAACAAATCCAAATTCATTTTTAAAAGCATCCGTCATTCCTATTCCATTTTTGCTGAGCTGTTGGGTGGGACTGGTTGGGAGCCATTAGACTGTATTTTTCTTAACTCTAAGATTTCAGTAATTGATTGGGCAAATTTCCAATAGTGCTTGCTCATATGACCTTTTGTCTCTGATTAACCAGATCAATTATTGCCACCAGCATTCTGTGGAATAGAAGGTCAAGTCTGACTGATCTTTTTTACAGTCTCCTATTGCTTATTCATACTTAATTTCTTCTTTTATATTTAAAAATATCTAATAATTTATATTTTATAGCTGTTAATGTTAATTTTTGAAGTCCCTGCTTATCTGATTCTGCTGATTGTTTCTTCTCTTGAGTTTTCTCTCATTGTGGTTTGTGGTTTTTGTGACTTTTTAAATTATAAATTATGATAATTAGAATTTTCCATGCAGGAATTCTTTGCAACTTGACTTGTAGATGCATACCTTCAGAGAAAGTCTGTGCTTGATTCTACCTGGAGCTTAGTGGGACTTCCAATTTGGACAACTTAAAATTTTTGGCAATTTTTTTCCCTCTTTTCCAGCACAGTTTGAATTCAGATTTTAAACTATGATTAGCTACCTCCCTTCCTCCCCAGCCAGCACTTGCAGGTGTATTTCCTTGTTATTTGTTTTCAGGGGATTTTTCTGAAGTCACTCTTGCCCCTTGTGGAGCCCCTTCACTCTCCTTGCTGTATGTATAGATCTTGGAGCTGACTCCCCCCACCCAGTGTGACCCAGGTTTTGGGATAATACATATATAAAGCACTTAGAGTAAATTGTAAATGTCCTAACATGTATTTGCTATTATTATAGTTGCCCTCCCCTTCTTTCGTCCAAGTAGTTAAAACCAAAGCCTGTGGTTGATTAGAGGAACAGACACTCTAAGGTGGGTGCAGGCTTTAGCTTTAGCTTGCTTCTCTGAATTTTTGCTTCTGTTTTTTATTTTTTGTCATCTGAGGGGTTTCCTTAATTTAAAATACAAATTAAATTTTTTCTTTAATTTTTTATCAGCTCAAATGTGCATCTAAAATGTCTTAAATATTTAATCCAGTGTTTTGAAGTGTTTTATAGTAGACAATTTGTCAGGATGGTCAATGAGTTTAGAATAAATGTCATCATGGGTCTTTTCAATCATCAAGACACTCCATTTCCAGGATATAATATGTCTATGGAGATGAACTTGGCACAAGGACCACCAGCACTTCCTTTGAACTGTATTGTCACCTCTTGATGAGCAACAGGGCAGGATTACTCAAAAGGTATTTCAGAGTTGCCAA